GCCTAGTTTCAAGATTTCTGCTCTCTTTTGCTTTTCTGAAACTGGTATGTCCTAGTTTTAATTCTAGCCCCAACTCCAATGTGTTTACTTACCAGTTCTTATGTCCATGTTCACTTTAATGTCTGAAGTATTTAATCTTTGTGTAATGTGTTCTGCCCATTTCTTGTAATGAATCCCTTTCCTATATCCCCTTATGTGTTTTGAGCTATGGTTCAAAAACATGGCAATATAACTGAAGTTATTGTCCATGGATATGAACTGGACCCTTTGGGTCCTAAGCTCTTTCAATTTCCCATCCCCATTCCCTTATTATGTGTGTTGAGTTAAAGCTTTGGCCTGACAGTATTCTAATTACTGCCCAGGCCATGGCTTGACCTTCAATAGGTCCTTACTCTCCAATGCTTGGCCAACAGGTTTGGTCAGGGGTGTGCCAGCCTACCTCATGGTTAGGTGTGACCACCAGCCTGCTTTGGCACTCCCTACCCCTCCCTATTACACTTGCACTCATTCTTAGAACTTAAGTTCTGCCCCTCTCTTGTGAGCCTTGCCTTGGGACCCCTGAGCTCCCTCTGAACTTGGACACTTGAGGGTTGGCTCTTCCACACTGCACTATAACTCATTCTGATTAGCATCTTGAGTGTAAGCACTGCCTGGGGTTCCTGAAACCCCTTGGATCTCTGAAACACCCTAGATAAGAGAAGGCCTTGGAAATCTGGATCTCGGAAGTGGCTCAATCTCATATTATTAGACACTAAGTCTGAATTAGGCTGCTCGGATGTAGCTGATAGCTTCTGATGTACTTTTAATTTCAGTCTTGTTCTACTGGTCTGTAATGATTTGTATAAACTCATGGGGATTCAATAAAAAAAGGGGGAGGGGGTTTATTTTTTTATGCACTAAGGGTAGAAAATATGCCTATAGGGATTTATTTCTGATTTGTGCAACTTCACACGTAGAAAACATGTCAATAGGATTTAACATTTGATTTCTGCAACTAAGCATATAGACATCCTGCCTATAGGGTTTGCTTCTGAATTTCTGCATTTTCATATATAGAAATCATGTTCACAAGTTTATGCATCTGCATATAGAAATCATGCCTATAAGATTTCTGCACTTTCATATATAGAAATCATGCTCATAGGAATTCTGCACTGTCATATGTAGAAACCATACCTATAAGAATTATGTATATCATACAGATATCCTGCTCATAAGAATTCTGCATAAAGAGACCATGTCTTTAATATTCTGCATTTTCGCATCTATCATTAGGCAAACAGTTATAGGTCAAATAATAATCAATTGCATTCTAGATATCATGCTCGTAGGATTTCTGCACTCTTCCTAACGTCTGTAAAAGGTGCCTAAAATCAGTAAACGGCTAGAAAGCATGCCTATAGGAAATACCGATTCTGAACTGTCGCGCTCGTTTAAGCAATATCAATTGCAAAACCTGTATTATTCTGTTAAAACTGGCAACCTTTTTTCTGTAATCAGTTTGCCTCTTTCCTAAAACCAGTAGATACCATGCCTATAGGTCTGTTTAACACATAGACAAAAGGTTTAACTAATCAACTGGATCAGTCTTAGACAACTGCATTCGAGTAAGCCTAATGTATACTTCCTGTCTAAAAATATGTGTTGAACCAGTCCGCTTATCGCTTTAATTTAATTTAAGACTAAACCAGTACGTGCAAGACATGCTAAACTCTATGGCTTTATCTGATTTTAGGAGGCGTATGTGAGCCCTACTTGCTTATTTGCTTTCCCCTTTACTTGCATTATGTGTTTTGATTGACGCCTTAGTATTTTGTCCTTTGAAAACTCTCCAAAAGGCCCCAAACCCCTCTCCCATTAGGACTAGTTAGTCCAAATGCCTCCGGGACTGATAGGATTGGGACGAGTACTAGCATGCAATAAGTAACGAGACATTCCGCGCTTTAATACCTTAATGGGGTGGGAAGGGCAGATATGGATATGATGACCACGCGATAACACCACTGGTATAAACGGTTACCGGGTGTTGTGTGGGGTAATCCATATTATTTATAAACATAGGACCCCTCTCCCTTTATCTGTTTATTTTTATTTCAAAAACTACTTTCTTCTCAAATTTCAGCCTCTTTAACTTCGTTTAATTTCAAAATTATTTGCAACTATTATATGAAAACCCCCTCGTATTTGTAATTCTTGCTTGTTTACTTGTTGTTTGCACATAAAGTCACAACTGTAGCATGACCGAGAACCACACTAGTGGATCTTGAGGGGTGCCTAACACCTTCCCCTCGAGATAATTTCTAGCCCTTACCCGAACTCTGGTTCTTCATCTCAAATTCTTCCTTAAAGTGTCCTAATGCACTATAATCATTAGGTTGCGACTCTTCAATTCCAAAACCTAATTCCCAAACGGGAATAGAGTTGTCTTTATGCCGGGAAGGTCTACTACAGAAGTCATTCACCTTGTGAGGAGATTGGTGGCTCAGTATAGGGAAAGGAAGAAGAACTTGCATATGGTATTCATAGACCTGGAGAAGGCCTATGATAAAGTCCCGAGAGAGGTCCTGTGGAGATGTATGGAGGTTAGCGGTGTCCCTGTGGCGTACATTAGGGTGAATAAGGACATGTATGATGGAGCAAAGACTCGGCCGAGGGCTGCGGGAGGAGACTCGGATCATTTTCCAGTGGAGATGGGATTGCATCAGGGCCCGGCTCTTAGACCATTTTTGTTTGCCTTAGCGTTAGAGGTGCTGACGCGACACATACAAGGGGAGGTGCCATGGTGTATGGTATCCGCTGATGACATGTCCCGATTGATGAGACGCGTAATGGAGTTAACGCTAGGTTGGATGTTTTGAGACAAATGTTGGAGTCTAAGGGTTTTAAGTTGAGTAGGACGAAAACTGAGTACTTGGAGTGCAAGTTCAGTGATGGGATGCATGGAGAAGGAGTAGAAGTGAAGATTGATACTCAAGTCGTCCCCAAAAGAGATAGTCTCAAGTATCTTGAGTCGATTATTCAAGGAACGAGGAGATTGACGAGGATGTTACCCATCTTATTGGAGTGGGTTGGATGAGGTGGAGGCTCCTCTCGGGGTTTTGTGTGATAAGAGTGTGCCACCTGGACCTAAGGGAATGTTCTATAGAGTGGTGGTTAGACCGTCTACGCTGTATGGGGCTGAGTGTTGGCGCGTCAAGAAGTCCAATGTCCGGAAGTGAAAGTAGCTGAGATGAATATGTGGTCATACCAAGAAAGACATGATCATGAATGAAGTTATTAGGGACAAGGTAGGAGTGACAACTGTGGAGGACAAGTTACGGGAGTCGAGGCTGAGATTGTTTGGGCATGTGAAGAGGAGAGACATAGATCCTCCGGTCAGGAGGTGTGAGAGTTTGTCCATTGCGGGTCTGAGGAAGGGAAGGGGAATGCCTAAGAAGAATATGGGATAGGTAGTTAGGAAGGACATGTCATTTCTCCAGCTTATCGAGGATATGACTCCTGATAGAAAGATGTGGATGTCGAGGATTAGGGTTGTTGGTTGACAGATAGTAGTTTGTCCCTCCTAGGCTTACCAAAAGTACTAGGACTATTTTTGTGTTATCTTATTCATGAGTCTTTACTATGACATGTTGTGTCATTCATGCCCGTTACCTTAATATATTGTTGTTACTATTGTTTGTTATTTGTTGCCTTATCTCTACTGTTCCTTGAGCCGAGGGTCTATCGGAAACAACCTCTCTATCTTTATAAGGTAGGGGTAAGGTCTGCGTACACACTACCCTCCCAGACCCCATTTGTGGGATTACACCTGGTTCGTTGTTGTTGTTGTTGTTGTTGTCGTCTGTTGTTGTTGTTGTTGTTGTTGTTCTTGTTGTTGTTATTGTTGTTGTTGTACTTAATTAATATGCAAAAAGCGGCACAACATACGCCCATCTCTCGTGGGCGTCTAGTTCTAGAAAAAAAAAAGGAAAAAATAACAAGATTGAAATAAGATTTGAACTCACAACCTCAATTAGAGAGGTACACCCAATAACCATAACATTATATAATATTTTTGGCATGAGTGCATATACATATATTTAAATATTTTTGAGAAAACATAATATTAGTAAACATGATTTAGTGAGGGAAGCATGAGTTCACGTGCCCCATGGAATCCCCCTAGATACGCCCCTGAATTGTTCCTATTAAATAAATAGTACAATCCCATTCAAAGTATGAACACCTATGCTGAGGTGGCACAAAAAAGTGATTTTCATTTCAGGTTGAGCGTGTGAATCATGGTGTTACCTTGTTTTCCTTTTTTTTTTTATAATATTGTTTTTCCTTAAATAGCTTCTCATTTATCTCTTTTTGGACGAATAATCTAGTAGACTCGTGTATTTAATTATTTTGATTAGACATCTCGATCCTTCTACTTGCCTTGTTTTCATTAAGACCTTTCTGTTTGATCAAAACCTCTGTCATTATCCTAACCATGGTTAGGAGCTTGCTTTGGGTAATTAAATCTCAACTTTTAATTATTAACTATGATATGTGACTCTCATCCAAATAGGAACTTGGAAAAATAAAGTAAACGAGAAATGGGGAGGAGTCCATCCATAATTGTATATATATACTCTAACTAGGCAATTTGATAGTGTGAAGCTCTTTTACACTTCTAAGGTATAGAAGTTGAACTCTTTTTATCTTAATATTAGGAGTGTAAAGGCAGAAATTAGTTGAGTTTTCTCTCCTATTTGGTGTAACTTAGTCCTTTAGATATTTTATTTCCTTCTTATATGAAAAATTCACATAAAAATGCTACATCCTCTGCTAAAGATACATTATTACATTAAAGTGAACTTTCATAATCAGTCGACACAACTGCTGGGATTGGTTGAAAAGACGGACTAGAAAAAATTTGATGTCGACCAAAACCATCCCTTTATGCTTGGAGAAGCTCTAATAGTTAATCTTAACAGTAAATAAATGAGCTTGATAGGCTAATTAAGAAAATTTCTTGCTTTTAAATATTATGTCAATTATCATATATTATTGATAGTTTTTCCAATTTCACGTTCATTTTACAACTTCTTTTTCCTTTCTTTGTTGAGATTGATAAAATTATTGTAGAACGAGTTGATAATATTGTAGGAACGAGTTTCCAGGCCTATTTCATATTCCATGTGTCCTCATCAAATATGTCAAAAGTCTTAACAATTTGGAAGAAGCGATCTAAAGAATACAGATAGGGAGGTTATTATAGGGGTCATTGTTATAGCATGCTGCTGGCTGGACCAGCCCTAAAATTGCACATCTTATTTAATCCACTGGGTTAAATTTCAAACATCTTACGTTCTTCCTTGAATTAAAAACAAAATAAAAATACTTATATACAGTGATAGCAGATCTAGAATTTTAATTTGATGGGTTTGATCTTTAAAATTCTTAGCACCAAACTTATTATACAATTAAAATTGTGGTTTCAAAATCTAATAATTTCGTATAGTTTTATTCTTTTTATATTTAGGTATCGTATAAAAACACTACTAAAAATGGCCAATTTCCAATTGAAATTTCCGACGGAAAAAAAGTAGTCGGAAATTTTCGACGGAATCGGTCGGAAAATACATAAAAATATATTTTTCAATTTGTAATAATAGTTACGATTAATATTCCGTCTATATCCGTCGTAAATTTTGGCGGAAAATTGAACCCCTAGCAGTGAGACTACACCCTCCACTTAGTGATGGTCTATATCTTCATATTATCAATGTAATTTAACTTGTTATATTTAGTTGTCTTGCAAATTTTTTTTTGTTACTAATTCACTTATTATAATTTTGTTAAGTGACATGTTATTACAAAAATTCTTTCTTTTTACTGTCTCTTTATAAAAATTTAAACTCTTTCCTCTTAATAGTGAAGGAAGAAAAATATCATGCTATCCAATTAAAGGATCTTAAGTTGAAATCTCTATTGGGGATCAACTAGCTTACTTCTTCCTATTCCTTTGGAAAGTAAATGGCGTTTTGTTTGGGCAAAAGAGAGGACCTAGTCTTGCATTAAGCTTTTTTAGATCCCCATTTCCACACGCTTACTTTCCCGTATGCTGTTTATGCATTTATATATTTTCTTTGTTTATTACTTTTGCTTTTGTGGTCTCCTTTTAGTCTTTGCCCACTTCTTTATATGTCTACTTAGTTTGATAGGAGTACTTTATATTTCTTCCAAGCAAAAGGCTTAAGTGGACTTTGCTCGAAGTGGCCGTCTCACTCCAATGACAGATTGTAAGAACCAAGTTTTTCAACTATTTCAAAATAGTAAGCTGAAATTAAATATCAATTTGTCTTAGTTTTGTCCTAGTCTTTGCCGACCGATCTTGTTGTGTATTTGAGCCCCGTTTTCCTTTTTTATGCTTCACACATATGTGTTTATGGTTTTATGACTTACAGGGGGTCGATTAGTTTCGTTCCGGGAAGATTTCGGGCTGAATTGGACCTTTTGGCTCTTGGCTTATAAGCCTAAGTTGATTATGTTGACCAATGGTTGACTTTTGTGAAAACGAACCTGGAATGGTATTTTGATGGCTCCGATAGCTTCGTATCATGATTTTAACTTGGGTGTATGCTCGGAATCGAGTTCGGAAGTCTGTAGGTTCATTTGTTGGTTTTCCGAAAATTGGCAATTTGAGGTTTAGAAGTTTGATCGTAGGTTAACTTTTAGCTATGTAACGACCCGATCGGCCGTTTTGTGAAATTACGTCCCGTTATCCCTTTATTGCTTTACACTTGTGTGTTTATAACTTTATGACTTGCAGGGTTGATTGGTTTCGCTCCGGGAAGCTTTCGGTGATTTGGACCCTTGATTCTAGACTTAGAAGTTTAAATTTGAAAATATTAACCAAACTTTGACTTTTATGAAAACGATCCAGGGATTGTATTTTTAAGACTCCGATAACTTCGCATTGTAACTTCGGGCTTGCTGCCCGAAATTAATTTTGAAAGTCCGTAGGTTGATTTCTATTGATTTGTCGAAATTCGGCAATTTTAAGTTAAAAAATTTGACCGTAGGTTGACTTTTAGCTATTGAGCTTGGAATTTGATTTTGGAACTTGGAATAGGTCCGTTATGGCTTTTAGAACTTGTCTGTAAAAATTGGCATCATTCGGAGTTGATTTGATAGGATTCGGACACTTAGTTGAAATTATAGAAGTTCTTGAAAATCTCTTTGAAAATCATGCGTTTTAGAGTTCAATTCGTAGTGTTAGATGTTATTTTTGTGTTTTCATTGCGCGAGCAAGTTTATATGGTGTTTTTGGACTTGTGTGGATGTTTGGTTTGGAGCCCCGAGGGCTCGGTGAGTTTCGGACGCTTAGCGGAGTGTTGTTGGAAATCAAAGTTGCTGGTTTTTCTGCACAAGTCTCATATCTCGCATTTGCGAGGTCTGAGTTCGCCTTTGCAAAGGTAGGCCAAGTCTGCTGGGTTCGCATTTGCGAAGTGTACCTGAGGAGAGCTTCTTCGCATTTGCGATCAAAATGGTCGCATTTGCAGAGGGTCCATTGTTCGCAATTGCAAACTATTCATCGCAATTGCGATGACAGCAAAGATGGAAGGACTTCGTATTTGCAAGTGCATCTTCGCATTTGCAGGTTTCGGAATTGCGAATCCCAGGTCGCAAATGCAACATTTGCGACTGGACAAATGGCTGAGGGACGGGAGTTTTGAGTTCATTCTCTCATTTTGAACCCCAAACTTGGTAAGAGGCGCTTTGGAGAAGAGATACGTACAAACCTTGGGTAAGTGATTCTACTCCATTTCTAATCATATTCTATCAACATATCTTAGATTCTAACATCAAAATCATGTGAATCAAA